TGTAAATAGCCCAACTTGTATGCATATGCAGATTGTAAATAGCCACACTTGTATGCATATGTAGATTGTAAATGGCCCAACTTGTATGCATATGCAGATTGTAAATAGCCACACTTGTATGCATATGTAGATTGTAAATGGCCACACTTGTATGCATATGTATGCATATGCAGATTGTAAATAGCCATACTTGTTTGCATATGCAGATTGTAAATGGCCACACTTGTATGCATATGTAGATTGTAAATGGCCCAACTTGTATGCATATGCAGATTGTAAATGGCCCAACTTGTTTGCATCCAAAAATTGTAAAGACTACAGTTATAACCTATAAGAAATCTATAGAACAAGGAGCAAAATCTCCTATTAAACAATTTGTGTACTGAAATTCTACAGAAAATCTTGCATAATATTCAACTGAAATTTGAAACAATTTATATTGAAAACCAACAATTGTAAAGCAAGCAAACATGTCTTTCTGTGTGTTCTATGTGTTGTTATTCATGTTCCACCTTGTTTCAACATTAACACATTTATTTATTCATTATTATATTTTGCAGCTGGTTGAGGATGGTGGAAACATTAAAAATAAAATATTGGATTGTTCCAATAGATTTTACACTTTGATACCACATGATTTTGGTTTGAAGAAACCGCCGATGCTGGACAACTTGGAGTTAATCAAGGTATATTAAAAAAATATTCGTGCTTTTTTGTTATATATAAAACAAGACCATATTACATTTTAAGGGTGCGAAATATTTACTTAAAAATGTTTTTTTACTTCTAAGATTCATAATTTTAAAAATTTTACCAATTTTAAATGTAAGGTCCCATGGAATGACAAAACACAAATGTTGTTTTGTGATTTCCTCATATTGCAGCTGCAGTTATGAATTGATAATTGTTCATAATTTCTGGTAAAGTCACAATGTTTTTGTTGTACATTATAAAAATATCTGTAGCAGGAAATAAATATGTATAATTTCAGGATATTTACAGTTCATTCTGATTATAATATCACTGTCATTTTCAGACCAAATCCCAAATGCTGGATAATTTACTTGATATTGAAGTTGCTTATAGTTTACTGAAAGAAGGAACCACAGACAAAAATCCCATAGATGCCAATTATAAAAAACTCAAATGTGATTTGCAGGTATGTTAATTTTTTTCAAATTTACATACATACATACTTTCCTACTTTGATTTCTGTAGAATCTCTGAAATACCATAACATTTATTCACTATGATGAACCAGGAATAAGTTGTTTGTGACTTCCTAATTAAGTGATGTATTTTACATTCAAAGAAAAAAACAGTTGCCATTGACTACTAAATTCAGCAATGAACAGTTTATATTCATGCGTTTCAAAGATCACAGACGTCAATATCATAATTTTAATGTCACTAATTTTGCTTTAAAGCCAATTGATAAGGACAGTGAAGAATTCAAGTTAATAAAGACCTATGTTTCCAATAGCAATGACAGCAAGGGTTATATTGATCTTAAAGTTCTTGATGTAAGTATCATTTTAGCCTGTCATTGTTGGTATGAGTTACTGCAATCACGTAAATAGATGCCGCTCACACAATGTGAGGCGACTGCAACTCCAAATATCTGGTTTTATTTAAACATATTTTAACTGTTTGATTTTTTCAAAAATATCTTCTAATTTTCTTCACATATTCCTGCTAGTATTTGATGTATTATATAGTGATGAACCTGCTCCTATTTACTCTAAATATGCTTTTAATTTGTTTTCAGGCATTCAAAATAGATCGTGAAGGAGAAGGCAAAATCTTTCAAAAGAAACTTCATAATCGTCGTTTGCTGTGGCATGGATCACGAGTGACTAACTTTGCTGGTATACTATCCCAAGGATTACGTATCGCACCACCTGAAGCGCCTGTGGTACGTACTCGTCTCTGCATTTATATAATACTTTTAAAACTGTTTGGTTAAAAATGTGAAGAGTGTATATGTGCATGCATTCATGAATAAACGTGAAACAAATTATACAAGCCACTGACCATCATAAGTTTGGTCAATCATTTGGGGATAAAAATTTAACTTGCAGTGGAGGATCCCCACCAAATATTAAACTCAGTGTGCTTTCTTGCTTTCTTGCATGACCCTTCATGTGGGTTGAAGTAAAACATATACAGTGTATAGCATTGTAAACGAGTTAACCTTTTCACCACCAGTTCCCTCTTTTTATCACAAATTCACAAAATAGTTCTCTTTATAGTCTGCAATTTTCTTCAGAAGATTAGGATAAAAATAGTAAAAAATTTTGAGTAAATACTGAAAATTGACTCACATTTAGTCAGTTGGCTCCAAAATTAGGGTTCATTTCCAGAAATATTGAAGAAAATATAGAAAAATGTGCAGACAAATTTGGGCGAGAAAGTCTGATGTTGAAAAGGTTAAAGACCAGTATTTATTGGCAGACATATATTCTATGAATGCACTTCAGAAACTTCTAATGTGTGTCATATTTGTTATTTCTCAGTCTGGTTATCTGTATGGTAAAGGTATCTATTTTGCGGACATGGTGTCTAAAAGTATGATGTATTGTAGAACCAGCTCATCAAACAATATTGGTTTAATGATGCTATGTGATGTGGCATTGGGCAACATGTATGAAATTCCTCATACTGAGTACATGGAGAAAGCACCTAAAGGAAAACACAGTACCAAAGGTGAGTTAATTAGACTGTGATCGTCTAAAGCTTCAATATAATGACATCTATGATTTAGATTTGGCAATTTCAGAATTATTATAATAAAAATGAAATTGTCATCTTTGACAATATATTTATTTGATTGTAAATTTGTGTTGTATCTATTTTTAGTGAATATAATTTTGACTTTTTGAAAACTAATGTTATATTCTTTGACAGATCTATATAAAATATATATCAAAGTGATAATTCTATAGTGACTAAAGCAATTTTTAGATCATTTCGAATTTAAAGCACCCCTACATTTCTGATTGATTTTCAGGTCTTGGTACCAAAGCACCAGATCCTAAAGGTGATATTAAGAAAGATGGCTGCACCATTTCTTGTGGTAAATATAAGAATGTGGGCGGTAAAGCTTACCGAGGCTACAACGAGTATCCTTTTCAAAATTTTCTTCATCACTTGACTATTTTATGCAAATATCTGAACAAAATATTCAAAATTTAACATTTTCTTACAAATTCAGACCAAAATCATGGGAAGTGTAAAGTTTTTAAATTTTTATTTGGAATATTTACCTTAACTGCACACTACAGGTTCATTGTCTATGACATAACTCAAGTACAGATGAAGTATTTGATAAAAATGGACTTTCGTCATAACTAATGGAGACGATTGAGCTGTAAACATCAGAATTTTAATCAACACATACAGTACAGTGTAGTTCCTAGAACATATTATTCATGAGGCTGTTTATGTTGGTTTGTGTATGTGTTTTTTTTTAGAAATTCTTCAATCTAACATCTAACCTCCCCAACTACTTTTATAATGATACAGTATGTATGTGAATAGATTCATTTTTATTTTTTAATCCAAATTTTATAATTTTTAATAATTTTTAATCTGCTTGTAGTTTCCATGATTCATATACATGTATATCAAAAAAATGATAATGTTCATAATTGTAATATTAAAATTTTGCATAATAATTTGATAATTTACATACTAGTACTTAATTTAAACAAACAAAACTTCAGAGTATTATTTATGCAAGCTTACTAGACATTTACCATGGGTTTGATTTCACATTGACTAGAATATGTCTAAAGACTACAACTATGAGGCTGCAAAAATCGTTCCACTTTAATAAACCATTTTCCGTACACTGCGAGAATCATGCGTTATGCCTGAAATCGAACGTAAAAACAGGACAAATAAAGGTCGTAGTGGCGTCAAACATCGCGTGGGATTCGACAAACGCGAAAATATTTTGGGCGGCATTTCCATGCTTAATAATGTGCTGTACACATTTGATGATAGGCAATTTCGATTAAGTGAGGGTGAGTCACGAAATAAAGAAATTCAAGTTCCAAATCAAATCGTTCGCTTTTTGTGGCAGACGTTCGATGCGCGTCTTTCATGCATCTCGCGAGATCTCGCAGTTTAACGGAAAATCGCCTATTTGTATGAGATGCTTTGTTTATTTGGGGGATGGTGGGGGGGTAAAACCGCTTCATTGTCCTCTCAGAGGCTGCAATCCTTTTTATTTCATGGGAATATCAGTAATGTTTATTACTGTGTATCTTTACTGAATATTATACAGGGTACAAGTAGATCTTGATAATGTCAAGGCCATGTAACATGTGTATCAACTAATGGGAAAACATTTAGAATAGTTTTTTTAACAAGGTCTGAAATATATTTTAAGTAATTAATTCTTAGCAACAGGAGAAGATGTCTGAAATAAGATTAAATTATTAATTTAATAAAGATAAAATGCATAATTTGATAATATGTTATTACTGCGTGTTATATAAAACAATGAATAGAATGTGATAATTTTAAAAATTGTTTTTTAATAGAAAGGCAGTATAGTGATCATATTGACTGAGGCGTATATGAGGTTGATGCCATCCCATACTGCCTGAATGCAGACTTTGTGGTATTCTCGTGATAACCTTACTACAGTATTATCTGTTCCCTGCTTGCAGTAATAATTTAAAGCACGGTGGTCGACGGTGTTCAAATTTCATGTAAATAAACTATGTATTTTACACGCGTTGTATACGCCGCTATGAGTCCCATATTGAACAGAACGCGGCGTGACGACCACCGCCCTTTAATGTGAGATAACAGCTTGAAATGGCAACAAAGAAAATTAATTGCACTGTACTAACGTTTGCGTTCAATGACTGGGCTCCATCATGTGCGGACAGGGCACCTGCATCTGAAGTAAGGGGAGTTGTTTGGTTATGACGTAACAATGGCGCACAATTTCCAAATAAGGAAGACATTCAAACACTTCTATAACGCTTTCTTACATGTCTGTACGGTGTTTTATGGATGGGTAAATTCTATGTCAGATGTATAGTAAATAAAGATATATTGCTATATTTAAATAATTTTAAGTGTGATCATTATACAAAATAAGAAAAGAATATCATGAATGTATGAATATAAATAAATTTGCAATTAAAAAGATATTAAATTCAAAAATAAAATGTATTGATACATACATATGTGACAATCTCAAGGTGCCAGATGATATTAAACTAATTAATTTTTGTCTAAGTAATACTATGACTAAATTGTTTTCATATTGCAACATTTTGGTGACATTTGAAGTGTGATCATGATACAAGAGAAGAATAAGAATTTCATAAATTTCTGAACATGAATATAAATAAATTTGCAATTAAAAAGATATTAAATTTTAAAATAAAATATATTGATATCTTAAAATACACACTGATTGAATTCTCCATGGGATCATGGAGAACTACGGTTCACCTGCGTTATTATGGGTTTGTGGTGTTTCTGTATTTTATTTATTTATTTTTTTATTAGACGCATAAAATCCTTAGGAAAGGATAAAAAGGGTCTTACAGAAAGAAATTAAAAAAAAAACTACAATCTAAAAAAGAAAACAAAAAATAAAAACTTTTCTAAAAAAAAACAAAAAAACAAGTCAAAAACAATAAAGACAATTTGCAGCCAATGGTGAATACAGAATATGGAATGAACACAAAATGTGGCCTAATACACTGATAGTTGTTGCTGTTTTGTTCCATAGCTGTTTTTTAAGAAGACAGCTAAGGCTGGTGCTAGAGTATGGTTTGCCATAATCAAAATGAATTTATTCTGACTATTTTCTTTATCAAAATTTGGAATTTTATTTTGTGCAGTCAGGAATAATTTGTCCCTATGGTGACTGTAAGCTGGACATTTCATTACAAAATGTTGCTCATCCTCAACTATATTTTGGCTGCACATATCACATGTTCTTTTATCCAGCGGCACATTATTATGTCTGCCTTTCTCAAT